GATTAAGGTAGGGTTCTTATAATCTACCTCCTAAAAACTTCAATAGCCTCTAACTGTGTAATCTCAAATTTTGATAATAGGACATAGAACTTCTTCGTTCAATTCAGCGGTAAATCTACCAGCTTTAAAATGTGTAATTCTTAATACATTCATATCTTGTTTAATAATTACAGTAGAATCCTCATCTAAATAAGTTTTACCTTGTTTTATGCTCCATCTGATTATGTGTTTATTTTAATTCTTTTTCATTATTCTGTGTTTTGTTTATTTAGTATACATGCAACGCTAATGCTATTTGTTATACTGTATGATACTTTCAAAGTGCTAAAATTGCCTAAATACCTAAACCAATATCTCTGCTTAAAATAATCCTAGAATTTTCTTCTGCACAGATTTTAAATCAGTATTGTATTTTTATGTGTATATATATATAGTCATATATTTCTTTTATGTGCATCTGTAATAGTTGTATGTCTTAATTCACTGCCGGCACAATCTAGATAAATTCTAAGTCCCCAACAGGACGGCCATATTGCCAACCCTGCCAAAATCTCAGCAGTAGCTGCGCAGGGTCCGTCCATGTAGTTCGGATATAACTTCTGCCTTGTATTTAATTGCTATTAACATTGACCTCTCATTGAAATTTTTGCTTTTATATACTGTGTCTGCCATCATGTGTTGTACAGTTTGCAACAGCATTTACAAAAATTTCTAAGTCCGGAGTCGGACAAAGTAAATAGACAACTTTTGTTATAATTATCACCAGAGGTTCCTAAGCCTAAATCTCGACTTTTTACCCTAAGCCCCCCTTCTTTAATTATAGTACTAGACACACCAAACTCTAATAAAAGATCCCCCTAGTCTTCCCCTTTCAATAATAAATAACTTTCATTAAGTCTCTCCTATTAGTTACCCCTCAAAAAAAAATTTTTTATTAGCTTTAATTTCGTTTAATTTCACTTAATTTCTTCTATTTCGCAGCCCCAAACCCCCAGATACTAACCAAACCTAAAATGTCTTAATCCTCTCTTCCTCCTCTTTCCGAAAACCTATCACTCAATAGTTTCAAAATTACAAGCCCTCCCCTCAATTTTTAATATTTTTTTTATTTTTATTTTATTAGAAATTATTATTATTATTATTACTTTATTTAAAAATTTTTACCTTTTTATTTTCCGTTTTTTACTTTTTATTTCTCCTATATCTTCCCTCCTAATCCACTTAGTCTTGTAATTCTTTCAGTCTCTCTCTCTCAGCTTGCCCTCAGGTTTTCAACAATATTACACTTTAGAACCTCCCTTCAAATTTATTTTCTCCCTATTTTTAATTACTCTTTATTAGCATTTTATTTCTCTTCCAACTTCCCAACTAATAGTAGTAACTCCACCGTACCACTTCTATTTACCAACACAAACTCCCTGCTTCATTCTACCACCATCCCCTTAAATCTATACTAATTAATATATTTTTCAATGAGTTTAATTAACCTTTTGTCTCTCATTTTCACTTCTAATTTCCAATAATCAGCACTCGTAATAGTCTCAAAACTACACTACAGAACCCAGCTTCCCTCTTATACCCCTGCGCCCTCCTGACTTACCCTAAAACACATTAACTAATTATTCCGTAGATTCTCCCCCACTTTCCAATCCTAACGTAGGACTTGCGCATCAGTACTCACCCCCCTCATTTCCGAGCCTCTGGCATATCTCCTGGGAATGTCAAGATATATACTGCTGCTTTTCTGTATTGAAATGATAAATACTGTTGTTATTTTGTATTGAATTACCCATTTACCTACTATCATACTTGTGAAATTACATTCCTGCATACATTCAAAGTGCATTTTCTTATTTACTAACTTTGCTATCCTCACCACTTGATGTGCATCTTCACTGTCCGATTCACTTACTTTAATGTCCTGTGATATCACAAATTAAGCATATGACTGGTGGTGCCACACTGTGATATTAAGTGCTTACATCACGCATTCTCCCACCTTGCATACCTTAGTGTCCAACATAACAAGGGCCTTTTTAATCAGTGCATTTCAAGAATCAACGTATCCGCTCTGACATGTCGCGTCCCTCGTTTCAACCGACCGACACAGAGAATACCCAGTCACAAGGCATTTTAGATCCTGAAGCTTTATTGGCATCGGACTTATCGCACGAAGAACGTGTAGCCGTCCTAGCAGGAAACATTCGGCAGATCTCTGCAACGTTTCGAAGAAATAAATTCCTATTAACCCAAGATTTAAGGGAGCAATTGGAAAAGTCCTTAGACGTCCTACAAGAATTAGCACTTGCAGGACCAGCATACGCACCAAAGCCAGTAACTGAAGAGACAGGCACTAATACTTCTACCTTTGTGTGCTGTCAAGCAGTTCACGCCTCCACACACCCTGTGCAACAGCTCAATAGCGAACCAGCTCTGACTTCGCAGTCCAATACCTCCATTCCGACGTTCGCTGAGGTATTGCGTAAATCCAGAATACCTAGCATCATAATCAAGCCCATCACTAAGAAACCCACTGGAGAGCTAAGGAAAGAACTACAAGCAAAAGTTCCCCTTACAAAGATCCCAGTCACAGTGGAAAAGATCCAACCTACGCCACAAGGAGGATTAGAGGTATTCTGCCAGACAGCAGAGGAACTTGACCAACTGCAACAGCATATACAAAAAGCCAACATAGATGTCGACGTCAAGAGACGCCAACGACGACGACCGAGGATTGCCATACACAACGTTCCTGAGAGCACCAAGCCGGAGGAGATCATCTCCGAGCTTAGTACAACAACGGGAACATCGTCTAAGCTCTACAAGGCGCTATATCCGACTTAAAGAAAGGCGACCAAAGACAGTCAAGTGGATTATCGAATGCGCAGCAGAAGGATTTGCCGCCGCAACCAAAGCCCGACGCATCTTCACTGCATGGCAATCCCATGGCATCTCTGAATTCATTGGCATCAGGCGATGCTATCGCTGCCAGCAGTTCGGGCACAGTCAAGACGCATGCAGGTCAAAGAAGATCTTCTGCGGCTTCTGCTCCGGCCCGCATCCAACCAGATGTTGTACAGCTGAGCAGCCCTCATGTATTAACTGTGGGGACTCAAACTGTAGATGGGGCACAAGGATACAACTTCTTTCACCCGACTTATGCTACCGAATGCCCAGTCTACCAGCGGGCAGTCGATACAATCCGCAGCAATACGGATTATTAATGACAGACCAGCTTGCACGACCTCGTTATGTGAAAACAGTAAGCAGATGAAAGATCCATCAACGACAAAGGATGCACTTAACATAATGCAGTCGGAACGACAATCAGAAACCAGGTGCCTGCAGATCAACCTACAGCATGCACGTGCAGCAACATCGCAGACAGCTCTCTACGCTGCAGAGGAACGAATAGACCTAATCTTAGGTCAAGAACCATACTGCAGGAATGGTAAAGTAGTCGGCTTCCCCTTACAATGGAGCATTTATCAAAAAGAAGATATCGATCAACCACCAAGAGCATTTATAGCAAACTGCAACCCCAAATGGTCACCATTAATGATAGCAGCCGAAAGGGACTTTGTAGCAATACTATTAGAGGTACTAAATCTAACAGTGGTTCTGGTTTCAATCTACTCTCCACCAACAGAAGAAGCAGACCCCACATTAGAACGCATACAACGATTGATGAGATCGCACCGAATAGCTAACATACTATTTGCTGGAGATTTTAACGCACACAGCACCACCTGGGGCTATGCAATCACAGCTCCTAAAGGCCGCATACTCGAGGACTTTGTTCACAGCAGTAACCTCGTAATTCACAATCGTTCGGATGCACCGCCTACATTCAATAGACTACACTCGCGCGGCTGGCCAGACCTTACCATCACCACCCAACAGATGGCACCCATACTGCAAGACTGGACAGTCGTCGAAAACCTTAGTATCTCCGACCATAATTATATACGGTTTAATCTAGCAAATAGCACAGCCACCTCTATTCTTAAACGGTACAATCTCCCTGGACGGAAAGTTCGAGCATTCACAGCCATCATTAGAGCCCGTCTGGCACCTTTTGCAACCGCAATAAGACAGGCCAACAGCAAAGAGGCCCTCCAGAACCTCACCCAAGACATCTTAACCGCAATCAAGAAGGCATGTGATGAAAATCTTCCCCCTGCGCACGGCCAAAAGAATCACAACGCTGAATTGGTGGAATGGCACGCTTCGAAGTCAACAACAACGGTGTCGTGCTCTACGGCGACGCCTAAAGCAAGAGCGCAGACATAACCTAGAAACCTTCCACCCTGCTCATTTACCAACGGGAGCGAGCACTCTATAAGCGAATGATTCTGGAAGCTAAGATAAGCAGCTGGAGAAAATTTGCTGCACAGAAACTACGACCACCTTTGGTATCCACCACAAAATCGCAGCTGGCAAACTCTTCAAGCCGGCAACTCTCTACCTCCAGCCAACGCCAAATACTAATGACCATCTCACGGAGGCTACGTTATCAGAGATCCTAAGGACAGTCTTCACCAAGGACAACCCGACAGAAGACACAGCCTTTCATACCATCGTCCGAAACCAGCCTCTTGAAATAAATACCATGGATGACCCTGATATTACAACTGCAGAAATACTCCAGGTCCTGCGCCAGCTTCCGCAGCGTAAAGCACCTGGACCAGATGGCATCGACAACCGGATAATAAAATTAATAGTGCGAACAAATGTCAACATCTTCCAAGTGCTATTTAATCAGCTTCTTCGTACCGGGACATTTCCCAGGTGTTTCAAAATCGGTCATGTAGTCTTGTTCCTGAAGAAGGAACAAAGATCCTACGAGACCAGAGTCATTCAGACCGATCTGCTTACTCTCTATACCCTGGGTAAGGTTTTCGAAAAGATACTCATGACAAGGCTAAGACACCATCTGCACAGAACCCGGTTCCTGAGTCCAATTCAATTTGGCTTTAGCCCAGGTAAATCAACACTACATGCCTCTGATGGAAGTCAAAAACCAAATACTGGCTAACAGATCCTCTGGCTACCACACAGCGTTCATTTCAATAGATCTCAAGAGCGCTTTTGATACGCTGTGGTGGCCAGCAATATTACAAGCTCTACGAACCGCTAACTGCCCAAGCAATATTTACAACACCATCGTAAACTATTTAGCGGACCGCCGGCTGATCCTTCCACATAACAGCGGAATTATAGAACAAGATCAGACACAGGGATGCCCGCAAGGCTCATGCGCCGGACCGTTCCTATGGAACATAACCTTCAACGGAGTCCTCAACAACCCATGGCCTGACCATACAAGGATTATCGCTTACGCAGACGATACAGCCCTAATCGTCAAAGGAAGAACCAGGGAAAAGCTCCAGGCCAATGCAATCGAATCCTGCTCCCTTTTTCAGGAAAGATGCACAGCCCTAAAACTTCAAATAGCAGAGGCCAAATCTCAAATTTTGCTCGTCCCAAAAAAAGGCGGATCGCTGGCAAGACAGCCAAGGATAACTTTAAACGGACATCGCCTCCGCATCACTCCAGTGCTGAAATATCTAGGAATTCTCTTCGACACCAAATTAAACTGGATCCCCCATGTGCTGGAGCTGAAAAAGAAAACTGCAAGATTAGCCCAACAACTAAGATATATGCAGGGCTATAAATGGGGTCTCAATCCCTATATCCAGAAAACGCTTTACACAACAGTAGCCGAGAAAGTTATAACTTATGGAGCGGCTGTTTGGTCAGCGCCTATGCAGGGCCGCAAAGTCAAGCATCTACTTAGCATACAAAGGCCTTTTCTCCTGAATGTCACCAAGGCCTTCCGAACATCCCCTACAAATGCGTTATGCGTACTAGCGGGATTGCTACCGCTCCATCTGAGCGTAGAAAAGGAAGCAGCCTATCAGGAGATCACTCAACTTGGCAATCTAACCACCTTCAGAGACGAGCTATACTCACCAGCCGAATTTGAACAAAAGATGATACGCCTTGCCGATCACCCCTCAACGCAGGGACAGGGAGTAAAGATTAGCATCAAGCAAAACACCAATGTAAAGGAAGATGATCTAGTCTATTATACCGACGGGTCAAAACTAGATGAAAATACAGGTTGCGCCTATGTTGCCCTCAGACAGCAAAGCACAATAGCACAATGGAAAGGTCACCTGGACACAAACAACAGCGTGTTCCAGAGTGAAGTAATGGCCATCAAACAAGCTCTACTTACGATAATCCAACAGCGGCAAAGAGACAGCTTCATTATAACAGACAGCCTCTCCTCCCTGTATGCAATTGTGAACCCTGTGCACAGCTCCCCACTGATTGCAGAGATTCAGACACATCTGCGCGACCACAGCCATCTTAACACCAGGATAGAATGGACCAAGGCCCACGTCGGCAACAGGGGGAACGAGCAAGCAGATCAACTTGCAAAGGAGGCTGCAAGAAACATCAATGCGGAACATATCACCATCCCTTGGCCAGTTTCATATTTAAAGAAAAGTCTGAAACACAAGGCAAAATCCGTTTGGCAGGAGGAATGGGATACTGGTGAGACAGGACGCCGTGCTCACTATCACGTCCCTACGGTAGACTCAGACCGTCTCATAGTGCATGCACAAATGGTCCGATACATTACCGGACACGGTCCTTTTTCCCGTGTACTATGAAAAACACGGGATCGCACAAAATGCACATTGTATATGTGGTGAGATGGGCACCCCAGATCATTATGTTACCCAATGCCCGCTTACAGCAGATCTGCACCTGCCAATTCCAACTACAAACACGCAGGCTTTCTGCAGATTTATGGTTAAAGACAAACGTACTGTCCGAAAAATCAACAAGATAGTTGATAAACTCATGAACGTGGGCACAGACTTATGTCTAATCTAAAGCAAACGTGCTAAGATATGATATGCAAATGCAAGGTGGAGTGTGCAACGCCATTTACCATGTGCCATGTATCGTGTAAATTAAAAACCATGTCATACAAACTCCATGTATATATAACTATCGGCATGATGTGTGCTACGAGCAGCTCACAAACTAAAACTGTAAATATTGCAAATGAACTGAGTCAGTAATGAACATTACGCACTGAGGTCAGTTATCGTGCATATAACTATGCACTTTGCAGCGCGTATAACTGCCTTCAACAGAACAGCAACGTGTCAATACTGGCAAATTACGCAATGCAGGACAGTTCATGTACTACGCGTACTAATACCATCACATCCATATACCGCGACCTATTCTAAGGTGCGAAATGTAAATAATGGAGAAATGCACAGATGTAAAATCCTGCAGTAATATGCTAACTGTAAATGCAAAAGTAATCTATGTATATTAGGAATGCCAATGTAATCCATTATATGTTTTTTGTACACGGTAAATATGTTAATGTAATGATTAAGCAATGTATTATAAGTGTAAAGAACTTCGGTACAGAATGACATTGTAAAGCTTACCGGTTTAAGTATAAGGAGTAATGTAATATGCACATTCGTATAAGTTAGTCAGTATAATTTATCCTGCATAATGTTTCACCTGTGCATAACAAATTCTCCTGCGTATAACTTAACACGCATCATGTATATATACCCCCTTCTGTGCATAATGTTTTTCCTATGTATCACTAATTTCCCTGTGTATAATTTAATGCGCATCCTTGTGTTGAATGCGCAGCCAGTGCAAAACAACATTATTACAATCTGATGATAATGTATCTGTTACCAGTATACGGTATATTAGGAAAGAAAATTAATGTAATAAGTATTTGGAAGTTAATGTAATGTTAAGGTAAGGCGTTATTTTGTCTTGTCAATCTGATGTGTAGAATATAATGTAATGTGTAATGTGTAACCATGTATCGCAATATAAAATATGTAGTGTAGTATGTACTGATAAACTATCTTGTTAATTTGATATGTAGTACATTATCTAATACGTAAGCCAAGTATCGTAATATGTAATGTAATCGTAATAGTGTCATATGTATCATAATATATAATGTAATATGTAATACAATCGTATTAGTGTCATATGTATCATAATAATAATGTAATATGTAATGTAATCGTAATAGTGTCATATGTATCATAATATATAATGTAATATGTATGTAATCGTAATAGTGTCATATGTATCATAATATATAATGTAATATGTAATGTAGTCGTAATAGTGTATATGTATCATAATATATATGTAATACGTAATGTAATCGTAATAGTGCCATATGTATCATATTATGCAATGTAATATGTAATGTAGTATGTACTGATTAATGAGCAACATGACACAGAATGCAAAGCCCAACTGAAACAATGTGAATGCAAACTTTATAATAGTATTATGCATAACGATGTAGGCAGTGTAATCGAGAAGCAATTCTATCATGTGAATAAGTTATCCTGTATAATGCAATACCTGTGTATAACTAATTTCCTGTGAATAATCTAACCCGTATCGTGCTTATAACCCCCTATTGCGTATAATGTTCCTATGTATCATTAATTTCCCCGTATATAATGTAATGTGTACCCAGTGTATAATGATAATATAATGCGTATCCTGTGTCTAATGCGAATCCTGTGCAAAATAACCCTTTTATAATGTACCAATATAGGGTTTATTAGAAAAGAATTTTAATGTAATAAGTTGATGTGAAGTTAATGTAATGTTAGGATAAGGTATTAATTTGATATGTAGTATATAATGCAATGTGTAAATCATGTATCGTAATATATAATGTAATATGAAATGTAAGATAAAGGTGGACGTGGTGCTGTACTGATTAACCCAAATGGTAAAGGGACAGTGCCCACGTCCTCCGTCGCTTATCGCTTATCGCTTCATTATCTTTATGGTTTTCTTCGATTTCATTATGATGAGATATAAATAAAAGCAAGTTTCCCTTATAAAATCTTCCACGAAGAATTTTCTCCCTTCTCTTTTGATACTTTTCGTGTGCTTTGCCTTATTAAAATAGTCTAAACTTGCAATAGCTTACTTTTCTTGAAATAAAGTAAATTTAAATGTATAATACATTTTGAATTCATCATTTTTTGAAATATTTTACAACTCTTAGTTTTGTTCAAGTCACGTTAACAGTTTCGTAAATCGTAGGCTATCTTTCATAAGCAAAATTTGGGAATTTTACAAAAATAAAATGCTAAATCAATAAATAAGTTTTTAAAATAAACGTAGTTTGGCATCCATTATCAATGGAAATGGTTCGTGTACCGACTTCGAAAACTTAAAATGATGAACCTTAAGCATGATACTGGCTGAAAAGAGTTGCACAGTCGTAAAGAAATCTGCAAGTTTTAGTTCGCAGATAATGCGACAAGGAATTTAGTCGAAAAATGTTATGTATCTTTGGATGAACCTACTTATGTGAACTAATATATATTTTCCTGAATCTCAGGGAGAACAAATAGACTTTCTCCGAGGCATTTCGTGGAATTTATGCTGAACATTTACACATATTCTCTTATATGTAACAGAAACTAATGTTTGTACGACAAAAGAAGCTCCATACAGATATGTTTGAGGAGAAACGATAAGACATTAAAATTTAATAAAGCATTTGCCTTTCGAAACATCGTAGTATTTTCGATTAGCTAGGCCGTCTGCTTTCCTGTTCCCTTACTTCCACTCTAAATCTGAACCTAAAACGAAAAGAGAAAGTCAGACAATTTATTTATTCAAGCAGTACTGATTACAGCTACAGAAAGACGCCTTTAATCTCTATCGTCTAAATCTATCACTGATCTAGAAATGCAAATTTTCTTTTCATCTCTTTCAAAATAAATTTACATCTAATCCACTTCTTTGGCTCTCCAGTGGGTCTGAAATGTTCCAACATTTTTACAAAAATAAATTTTCGCTTACTATTTACCATCTTTTGCTCAAAATATCACGAAGTTTATAGTTGTTAAACGTTTATAGTTGTTAAACGTTGTTAAACGTTTGTGATTTTTGTTAATTAAATCTAAAAATCTTCCGCAATTAAGTATTTGACAAGCTCTAAATCTTTTTCAATATTTCAATTAAAAACTTCCCTGAAAATTTACCATCTCTTACTGAAAACTATTCATACTTCTAGAAATAACTTGAAAACAATTTACGATGCTATTCTATTTTTTTATTTTATATTTTTTATCATTCTAGAGCATATATTCTAAATAGAAAAATATTCGGTATGCATTAGACAGATTAAAAAAATAACAACAAATTAGTTTTCGTGAGAACCGATTGCAGTGATATGCAGAAATTATTTATAGGGATTGTTTAATTTGTGATATTAATTTCATGTCTTTTGAGAACAAATAAAGAAAGCAATTACAAATTTTTCTTTATTTCTCTGGTTTTTTAGTGGATTAATCATGGCAAAATAGATTTTTATTACAGCTTGTTTTGTGCCCCTTTAAATATTTTATTTGCTATATATTGGTGAATTTAGGATGTAACGAAATTGAAGGGTGTGCTATAATCTTATCGTCCATATTGAATATTTTTCTAATTGAGAATTTTTATGGTAACAGTATTAAAATTCGCAGTTAATTTTATAGAATCTCGCTACCTATAGTATCAAAATAATAATTTATCATAGAATTATCTGAATTATTTAAATAAATTATTTAATAAAAGTATATGCACAGAATTAATAATTAGTGGAACAGAGTATATAACCATTGTTTCTTAAACCCATGTATCCGTACTAGTCAAGATCACACTAGAAATTTTTTTCCAGTTTTAAAATTAAAAAAAAAAAAAAATATTAGAATTATTTTTTAAAAAAGCATCTTACTCTTTTATCACATTTGTCTTATAGAAAGACTTTATTCATTCTTTATGATATTTATTTTTTAATAATTTTAAATTTGCATTGAGTAATAATCTGAAATGAACTTTTAAAGAATATGAAGAAACTTAAAAGCAATTTTAATGTTTAAAAGAATAAACATATACCCGCATCTCTGTTTACATCATTAAAAGCAGCTATCAATAAAAAGTGATAATATTTCATATTATTATTTTAAATACAATTTCATAGAAGTAACTTATATATATGATATTACATGGTTACTTATATACGTTAATAAGGGCAAGCATTGAATTTGTTGCTTGTTCTTAAAATAATAACTCTTCATTTTGCTAGCCTAATGCGTCTGTATGCTAGTACACAATTAACTAACAAATGACACTTTTTTAAGTACCAAAATATTTTAGAAAGAATTTCGGAGTTTATCTATCAAAATAAAAAATGATCGTTATTAACACTAGTCATTCCACAAGACAACAGAAGAAGTTCTTTATTTCTTCATACAGCCTTAATGCTGGTTCAGACAAAATAGCAATCGTCTGCTTTTGAAATCTATCTGAAATCTTGTTCTTTCATTTAGGAACTCTTGCAGTAACAATCCCAATGTCGGCTTCAATGTCTTTAGAAAAGTTACGGATGACAGCAGGCACAGTTCAATACCAGAATGGTCTAGTAGAAGTGATTGGCTATTATAAGGTCCTCACACAAAGAGTAGGAACGGCAGACAATTGAAGCACGGCGTAGTTGTCGAACACTCTGGTTGGGCAATAACAAAAATGTGCAAAGTATTTGAATTACGGCTAACTCAGCTTAAATGTTTAAGTTTCATGACATAAT